CCACTTCCATCAAAGCCTGGCAAGTCAGGCAGCAGCAGTGATCCAACCGCTCAGCCTGCCATCGAGGCAGGTGCTTCAGCATCTGTACCGAAGGAGAGTCAGAGCCCAGATGAAAAGAAGGGCGCAGGTGACGCCAACCAACCTGCGACTTCACCGAAGGCTGGGTCAGTAAAGGCTCCAGCTGAGAATGCATCTGCAGCCGCATCATCAGGGAAAAAACTTTCCAACTTTTTGGTGAAGGAGCTCAACAATGCTGACCCTCATGCTCAGCTCATCAAAGAGCCTTCCCATGTCTTGGTGAAAGTGCACATGGAGGAGATCATCTCCAGCCTCATGGATTGCAAGACGGTGGAAGAGCTTTCTCGCAAGGTGACCCAGCTCAAGAATGGGGCTGCAGTTGTGAAGGAATTGAAGGATGGCGCCCACAAAGCGACTACGAGCTTGAAGTCTCACATCAGTGCCCGTGCTCGCGTTGCATCCCGCAAGAGACTGCAAGAGCAGAAAAATGCGAAGCAGACCGAAGTCAAGAAGAGTAGGAAGCAGGCGAAGGACGCTGCGGAAAAGATCAAGGAGGAGGAGCAGGTTGTTCACCCTGTCTTCAAAACGGACTGGCAGAAGCTGATCGCTGATGGCAACTTAGAGAAAGAGCACGCAGTCACTGAGGTGGACGGCCCAAGCAAGGATTCCCTTTGCGCCGACCAGCCGTACCTCATCAAGAACCTCACTGCACTGGCAGATTTCCAGAAGAACCCGCAGGCCATTTTTGCGAATCAGAATTGTTCATTATTGTTAGCCACATCTGAGCCATTTGTATGTGCATTGTTCTTGGGATTTTATCGTATTCAAGTACCAGTGAGGGGTTGTGGGCCATTGCGGGCAGTTAGGTCCACATTGGACACCATCGGCGCATTTCACGTTGCAAGACGCTATCGCGTTAATGTCAATGTCATCTGTGTGTTGTAGGAAAGGAAAGGGTTGTTTTTCTTTGGTGAGACCAGACTTTTGAGTTCGTGTTCTGAAGATTCAGTTACTTGCTTGGCTCCGATAGCCAAGACACAAAACAGTAGCCACAGGTATTGGTGCTAAGCAGCGGCAAACAACTTTCCCACACTGTACCGACAACCACAAAAACCCAATACTCAACCTGTGTTTTGGGATAGAACGCAAACCTTCCACAGGGCGTGCGTCAAGACTACAAGAGACAATTCAGAGATTGCTAGAGGTTGTAGTTTGTAGTTGTAGGCGTATTCCTTTCATTTTGGTTGAACCCGGCGTAACTAACAGTTCAGGTCACACTGTCACGGTCAGACTTCTGGACTTTGAGTGTGACATCAGCCATGAGTAACAAATATTGGGGAAATAGATTTCTATGTTTTCTTTCCCTCCACTCATATGATTGTCCTATCAGTACTCCAGATTCCCTAGCCAATTACATTGAATTCATTAGTCAACCGTTTTTGTTTGTTTTCTTTGGCAGGTTCAAATGATGATGGGTGGCTTTGGAGGGGCCTACAAGAAGCAGCCCACCACCAAGCACACTGGAAAGACGCAGGAGCTTGTTGTCAAATCCAATGGCTTGGAGCAGTGTGACAGGCTGTGGCATGACATCTTTGAGCTATTCAAGGACTCTCCGTTTCAACCCGCTTCAGATCCAAACCTCGAGAAGTACTTGCAGAATGTTCTGGCCGCCAATTGGTTGACTGGATTGGATGCGAAGGCCAATTTCCTAACAACAAATCCGAATGGTTTGGGCTGCTTTCGTTTCCTCTCAGCAGGTGAGGTCTGCTGGGCTTTGTTTGACCTCATTGACCTTCTCGCTGTGTACAAGTGCTTGGGAGAAGAGCGGGGGACGCTTGATGCTCTTTATGATTCGTTGAAGGTGTCTGGTGAGGAGAACATCAAATTGTTCGCTGAAAAGGGGTGCAAAGTCAGGTTTACAGTTCAGAAGAGCGGTGAGCTCCTCTATGTTCCTACCGGGTGGGTTGCAGCTGAGAATGTCAAAAGCGGTTTGCTGGTCTACGGCCTTCGCAAGACAGTGCTCTACCGCTCACCCCGTGCTGCTGAGGGCTATGAACATCTGATTGGCCTGCATTCCAAATCAGGAAAGCCAGTAGACAAAATGCAGGCCACTCTTGCCTTCATGAACCCTGCTGAGAGTAGCTAGGCTTCAGGTGTGAAAGCTGGAGATCGGAAGCCGAATCCCAGCTCCGTTGTTTGCTTGGAAGTTTTGGTTTCCAAGTTGCGTTGTGAGTCATGAGATGTTAGGGGTCTCTACTTGGCTCAACTGGGGATTTGTTCCTCATTGACTCCTCACCTACACAACTGAGGCGGAGCAGTGAAAAAAGGCAGTTTGTTTTGCAACTGTGGCACTGTCAAAGCAAATCGCCTCAAGTTGCACACAGGGAAGATTTCTATTTGGCATTGATGTGTGCGTTTGTTTTCACAGCGTATATAGCATACATCGCTCAACCAATCCAACCGCAAACACACGGCCACAAACACGCAACCACAAACACTCAATGACAAACACACAGTGACAAACACCCAACCACAACCACAAACACACAATCACCAACAAACAACCTCAAAAACACAGCCGCAACACACAACCACAGCACACAACCACAACCCACAACAACCACAACACCCAAACACAACCACAAAAACACAACCACAAACGCACAGCGACAACAATACATAATATATGCATGTGGCATGTTGCGTGGCAGGTGGTCGCAGGGTAGCGCTTTTGGATGCCAACTGCAGACCCTGGCCACACCCTGAAGTGAACTCCCCAACTCTAAAATAGCAATCCCAAACCCGAGGACCCATGAGCGAAGCTCACGACCATGGCAACATGCTCACACCGGCGCATCCTAAATCATCGTAATGTTCGAGTCTGTCGGAGATGCATCTGAGCTGGTTTGCACACGCAGCTAGCTTTAGTTTACAGAATTGCTGTCTCTCCTCCAGGGTTGCCTGGCTTCTCCTGAGTTCCCCTGAGTTGCCTTGAGTGCATTACCGCAAAGGAATCCACGCAAGTTAGCAAAATATATTATATAGATTATAATATTTTAGCATATATTTGATAAGCTATTGGATCGTATGTTTTTAGTTGGGCCGTCCTGCAAGGGCAAGGTAGCAATCTCCCTAGGCTTTAGCTTCGCCTTCCGACCTGGCCGCAAAACTCGTGGACAAATCCACGGTAAAAAATAGGAAGGCAAATAACAAACAACGCAAACGATCGGCAGAAAAAACTTCGATATTCCACACCATGAGAACCGAAAATGTTTACATTCTTTTAGGAATGCTGGAAAGCAAAATTAATATCGATATCGCGAATATATATCGTGCCTAGCATTATTTCGACTATTTATGATTTCAAGATTATGACCCCGGAAGCAGCTGCGCCTCTTCCGGGCCACACGCAAGTGGCAAAATGGCTGCAGCAACAGGATTGCTATGGTAAAGAATTGAAAATCGAGCTGATTAGGGCACTATCAAGTCTGAGAAAGCCTAATTCGTGCCTGCAAAGAAACTTCTTTCTTTTCATAATGCTTCTATGCAAGAAGTTGTCCATGATGTTTGTAAAAAGCACCGTATAATCTGATAATGTGGTTTGCATCAAGCTGTCTCGCATTTGTCAACAATGCCAAGACCTTTTTTTGAAGTTGCAAAAGGCAACTCGAATAGAAGGTCATTCAGAACATAGAACAAGTGACCGGCACAGTCATAACAAGCCAGAATGAATAATGCACATATGTGTATGTATATCAAAAAATGCAGGTCGAAAATAGATTAATGCATTGCTGCCAAATAAATACAAAATCTTTCAAAATATCAAATAAATTAAAATTTTATCAATGTAATGTTACCATATAAATGTACTCTATCAAAGCGTCAAATAGAAGGATTAAATTTGCGACGCGCTCACGCGTATAGCTATTAAAAATACAGTATTATGGTAAAACCTTATTTTGTTGCATATACGTTCGAACGTTGCAGCGGTAAATAATAACGCACGCATCCAAGAAATGCTCGATGAACACGTAGGAATGCAAAGAGAAATATGGATCCAGGGCCGGTCGTTGAGCAAATTCGAAATAAATCAATGTTGTTTATAATAGACATGCGGGATTCGAACCCGCGATCGACGGCGTCGGAACGTAGCGACGAAAACAAAATATTAAATATTTAGAATATATTTTATATTTAGAAATTAAAATATAAGAATTAATCCAATTATATAGGGGAGAGCGGATCCGCGACGGAAATCGTAGATTTCATTATGAGGAAACTAAGACTAAAAATAAAAACACGAAAATATAAGAAATAATCCGTTTATTTTAAATATATTAATTCAAAATTCCGCGTATTTTTTCTCGATCGCACCCCAATCCGTAATATTAATAATAATAAATAAATCAATATATTAGAATAATTTATATATATTATAATCGATACAAATATAATAATTATTAATATTATATTCATACTAATTATATAAATATATAAATTAACTAAACTATTTTTCTAAATAATTAAACATAATATAATTTTGGTAGATTAAAATAAGCCTTCTTAATATCGGTTTTTTTATTCATTTAATCATTTATTTTAATTCGATTTAATTATTCAATATAATAAAATTATATTATATAATTATAATTAATTTTTTTCTATTTATGAACGATATATTAAAACAATATTTCCCAAATCTATAT